ACTTTAGAACAGACCACACACATCCCAAGGGCATTTCACTCTGATCCTTTCGGGTTATTTTTAACCCTGCAATCTCGAGTTTTCTCAGAGATCTCAGAGTCTGAACGAACATGCACCAGTGGTCATTGTGGTGTTCTGTTTCCTACATCTTTCCAGTAAATTGTTTATCTTTAAATTTAGGCAAATATATCCCATGATGGAATAATCAACTCTGAGGTCCCTCCTTTACTCCTCACGTTCCTGACACCTTACCCACTTCCCAGGATCCTTCCATGTTCTATCTTTTGTCATTCCTCAATTTAGCTTCACCAAAAATGTTTTCGAGAATTAAATAAGTATATTCTCCCTCCTCCCCGGCATGCATGCTATAGCTTTCCTTTTTCTTATAAACAAGGCTGATTGATTAGCAATACAGCTTTTCAGATATACTATGCTAGTTATACCTAACAAAATACTGGTATTTTTGTTGGTATAAAACATTATTTCAGTATTTAAAAATCAAAAAACTAAATCACTTACATCTTGAGAGATACCCAGAGAATCATAAGCTACATTCTATTTTTGTTGTTGTTGTTTTTAATTTAAGTTCAATTAATTAACATATAGTATATTATTACAGTTTCAGAGGTAGAGTTCAGTGATTCATCAATCTTATATAATACCCAATGATCATTATATCACATGCTCTCCTTAATGTCCATCACCTAGTTACCACATCCCGTCACCCCCTCCCTTCCAGCAACCCTCAGTTTGTTTCCTATGATTAAGAGTCCCTTATGGTTTGTCTCCGACTGTGATTTCATCTTCTTTTATTTTTCCTTCCCTTCCCCTATGCTCCTCTGTTTTGTTTCTTAAATTCCACATGAGTGAGATCATATGATAACTGTCTTTCTCTGATTGACTTATTTCACTTAGCATAATACCCTCTAGTTCCATCCACATCATTGCAAATGGCAAGATTTCATTTTTGATAGGTGAATAGTATTCCATTGTATATAAATACCACAACTTCTTTATCCATTCATCTGTTGAAGGACATCTAGGCTCTTTCCATAGTTTGGCTATTGTGGACATTGCTGCTATAAACATTGGGGTGCAGGTTCCCCTTCGGATCACTACATTTGTATCTTTGAGGTGGATACACAGTAGTGCAATTGTTAGGTCATAAGGTAGTTCTATTTTCAACTTTTTGAGGAACCTCCATACCATTTTCTGGGGTAGCTACACCAGCTTGCATTCCCACCAATAGTTCAGAGGGGTCCCCTTTCTCTGCATCCTCGTCAACACCTGTTGTTTCCTGAGGTGTTAATTTTAGCCATTCTGACTTGTGTGAGGTGGTATCTCATTGTGATTTTGATTTGTATTTCCTTGATGCTTAGTGATGTTGAACATTTTTTTCATGTGTCTGTCGGTCATTTGTATGTCTTCTTTGGAGAAATGTCTATTCATGTTTTCTGCCTATTTCTTGATAGGATTATTTGTTTTTTTAGGTGTTGAGTTGGAATGTTCTTTATAGATTTTGGATACTAGCCCTTCATCTATTAAGACATTTGAAATATCTTCTCCCATTCTGTTGGTTGTCTTTTGGTTTTGTTGACTGTTTCCTTTGCTGTGCAAAAAGCTTTTTATCTTGATGAAGTCCCAATAGTTCATTTTTGCTTTTGTTTCCCTTGCCTTTGGAGACATGTCTAGCAAAAAGTTGCTATGGCCGAGGTCAAAGAGGTTGCTGTCTGTGTTCTCCCCTAGGATTTTGATGGATTCCTGCCTCACATTTAGGTACTTCACCCATTTTGAGTGTACTTTTGTGTGTGGTATAAGGAAATGGTCCAGTTTTATTCTTCTGCACATGGTTGTCCAATTTTCCCAACACCATTTGTTGAAGAGACTATCTTTTTTTCCATTGGATATTCTTTCCTGCTCTGTTGTAGATTAGTTGACCATAGAGCTGAGAGTCTATTTCTGGGCTCTCTATTCTGTTCCCTTGATCTTTGTGTCTGTTTTTGTGCCAGTACCATACTGTCTTGACAATTACAGCTTTGTAATAGAGCTTGAAGTCCAGAATTGTGATGCCACAGCTTTGATTTTCTTTACCAACATTCCTTTGGCTATTCAGGGTATTTTCTAGTTCCATACAAATTTTAGAATTGTTTGTTTTAGTTCTGTGAAAAAAATTGATAGTATTTTGATAGGGATTGCTTTGAATGTACAGATTGTTCTAGGTAGCATAGACATTTTAACAATATTTGGTCTTCCAATCCCTGAGCATGGAACATTTTCCCATTTCTTTGTGTCTTCCTCAAGTTATTTCATGAGTATTTTATAGTTTTCTGAGTACAGATCCTTTGCCTCTTTGGTTAGGTTTATTCCTGTTTATCACAGTTTTGGGCGCAATTGTCAATGGGATTGGTTCCTTAATTTCTCTTTCTTCTGCCTCATTATTAGTGTTTAGAAATGCAACTGATTTGTGTGCATTGATTTTATATCCTGCCACTTTGCTGAATTCTTGTATGAGTTCTAGCAATTTTGAGGTGGAGTCTTTTGGGTTTTCCACATAGGGTATCATGTCATGTGCAAAGAGTGAGAGTTTGACTTCTTTGCCAATTCAGATGCCTTTTATTTCTTTTTGTTGTCTGATTGCTGAGGCTAGGACTTCTAGTACTATGTTGAATAGCAGTGGTGATAGTGGACATCCCTGCCATGTTCCTGACCTTAGGGGAAAAGCTCTCAGTTTTTCCCCATTGAGAATGATATTCGCTGTGGGCATTTGTATATGGTTTTTATGATATTTAGGTATGTGCCCTCTATCCCTACACTCTGAAGAGTTTTAATCAAGAAAGGATGCTATACTTTGTCAAATGCTTTTTCTGAATCTATTGAGAGGATCATATAGTTTTTGTCTTTCTTTTATTAATGCAGTGTATCACATTGATCCATTTGCAGATGTTGACCAAGCTTGCAGCCCAGGAATAAATCCCACTTGGTTGTGGTGAATAATTACATCTGGAGGTGTCTTTGGGTCTAAACTGAGTCTCTTGCAGATAGCATATTGATGGGTTTAGCTTTTTTATCCAATCTGATACCCTGTGTCTTTTGATTGGGGCATTTAGCCCATTTACATTAAGAGTAACTATTGAAAGATATGAATTTAGTTCCACTGTATTACCTGTAAAGTCACTGTTTCTGTGGATTGTCTCTGTTCCTTTATGATCTGTGTTACTTTTGGGCTGTCTCTTTGCTTAAAGGATCCCCTTAATATTTCTTGCAGGACTGGTTTAGTGATCACAAATTCTTTTAGTTTCTGTTTGTCCTGGGAGCTTTTTATCACTCCTTCTATTTTGAATGACAGCCTTGCTGGATAAAGTATTCTGGCTGCACATTTTTGATAGGTGCTACATTCTATTTTTGTTGTTGTTGTTTTTAATTTAAGTTCAGTTAATTAACATATAGTATATTATTACAGTTTCAGAGGTAGAGTTCAGTGATTCATCAATCTTATATAATACCCAGTGATCATTATATCACATGCTCTCCTTAATGTCCATCACCTAGTTACCACATCCCGTCACCCCCTCCCTTCCAGCAACCCTCAGTTTGTTTCCTATGATTAAGAGTCCCTTATGGTTTGTCTCCGACTGTGATTTCATCTTCTTTTATTTTTCCTTCCCTTCCCCTATGCTCCTCTGTTTTGTTTCTTAAATTCCACATGAGTGAGATCATATGATAACTGTCTTTCTCTGATTGACTTATTTCACTTAGCATAATACCCTCTAGTTCCATCCACATCAGGAGCATTCCTGAATATATCATGCCAGTCCTTTCTGGTCTGCCAGGTCTCTGTGGATAGGTCTGTGCCGGTCTATTGTTTCTATCCTTGTAGGTTACGGACCTGTTGTCCCGAGCTGCTTTCAGGATTTTCTCTTTGTCTTTGAGATTTGCAAGCTTGTTGAGGTATTGACCCTTTTTAATGATGGGGGGGGTTCCTCTGTGCCTCCTGGACTTGAATGCCTATTTCTTTTCTCAGATTAGGGAAGTTCTCAGCTATAATTTGCTCCAGTATACCTTCTGCCCCCCCCTCCTCTTCTCCTGGGATCCCAATTATTCTAATATTGTTTTGCTTTATGGTATCAGATATCTCTCGAATTCTCCCCTTGATCCAGTAGTTGTTTATCTCCTTTTCTCAGCTTCTTTATTCTCCATCATTTGGTCTTCTATATCACTAATTCTCTCTTCTGTCTCATTTATACTCCATTTTTTATTGCATCTCATTAATAACCTTTTTTATTTCAACTTGATTAGATTTAATAGTTTTATTTCTCCTGAGAGGGATTCTCTAGTATCTTCTATGCTTTTTTCAAGCCAGCTAGTATCTTTATAATCATTATTCTGAACTCTATTTCTGACATCTTACTTATATCCATACTGATTAGGTCCCTGGCAGTCAGTACTGCCTCTTGTTCTCTTTTTTGAGGTGAGTTTTTCCATCTTGTCAATCTTGCAGAAAGTGGTTGCTTTTCTATTTGTAGAATTGCAGCAATTCTTTTCTTAGATCTCTAGTTGAGTTCATGGGTGTTTAGAATGATTTGATAAGTGTCTAGCTGAATTCCTAGGCCTGGAAAATAGCCCAAAAGGTCTCCTACTACTCTGCCATCTTGGAAAGTCCCTAAATTCAATTTTTGAATGGAAAAAATTACCTTTTTTGAAAAATGCTCAGAAAATCTCCCTCCCAGGTATCTTACTGCTATTTTAAGCTCCATTTCTCATTATTATTGATTTTTATTTTACATCATATGTAATGGTACCATTTCTGTCATAACCAGATGGGAG